AAAAAAAAAAATACTGAAGTTCTTTCTTATCAATGTATCATGGCAAGCATCTAAGAAAAAGAACAGGAAATGCCTATTCCATCCATCCATCCATCCATCCATCCATCCATCCATCCATCCATCCTTCCATCCATCTCTGTGTATCTCTCTAGTTAGCATACAAAATAACAGGTTTCATTTAGGAAATCTTCATATCATATATCACTGAATTTTGCTTTCATTCTCCTCCTCAACTACCCTCTCCCATCCCTGGTTCTCAGTGCAACCTAACAATTTACTTGTTCACATACTAACAAAAAGAAAAAAGAAAAGAAAAACTTCATCATATACTTCTTCCCTTGCTCTTAGGTTTATTAAGGTATTGCTTAGACACAGTGAAAATCCATCCTTTTCTGGTGTGCAGTTCTGAGTTTTGACGCATACACACAGCATTTGTGGTGGGTAAGCCATTTAGATGCACACCATTTCTATCATTCTAACACTCTCGCTCTCTGTAGTCAACTCCATCTCCAACTCTACTCCTTGGTGAGCACTAAAACGCCTTTCTGGCTTCTATTTGTGAGTTTTTTCCTTTCTAGAGTGTCCTACTAATGGGACCACATAGATGTAACTATTTGAGTCTGGCTTTTTTCACATAGCATAGTGTATTTGAGATTCATCCATGTTCTTGAATTAAATAATAGCTTTCTCCTTTTACTTGCTGAATATTACTTCATTGTATTAGATTTACTAAAACTTAGGCACTTAGTTGTCTTTCCACAGCAAATGATCTCTGGGGTAATCTTCATTCTTAAAACTGTAAATAGTCCTTCACCAACATCTGAGTACATGTTTTCATGCATATACACGCACCTATGGTTTCATTTTTCTTTGGCAAATTTCCAGGAGTTGGGTCCTATGCTAAGTGCACACTTATTATAAGAAACTGGCAACCTAAGGCCAAATGGTGAGAGTTCTAGTCACCCCACAGCCTCACCAGCACTGGATAGTGTCAGTTCCATTTATTTTAGCTATTCTAACAAGTGTGTAGTAAAAGCTCCTTGTGGTTTGAACTTGCATTTTTCTAAGGACTACTAAAGTTGATCATCTTCTCAGGTGCCTATCTGACATCCAACACTTTTTCAAGTAAAGTGTCCATTCAAACTTTTCCTGTGCCTTAATTGTTTCCTTTTTTATTGGTTTGTACCACTAACTTTCAACTATCTATTAATTTGCTATATATTTCATGCCAGGCACAGAAATAAACACATTGCTGCTAGTTGTAAACTTATGGACAAATGCCTCCTTGATGCTCTCTTGATTAATTTGGGTTATCTCATGAATTACATGTAATGTTACATACTTTTTGTACACATGATTCTCATTTTTGTGCCACAAAATGCTGACACACACTTATTATATTAAATATGTGAAAAGAAACAATGGTCTAAAGTGTATAGACCCCAAGATTGGTATGAACTCTGAACTTAGCCCACTGCTTGCAAATGATATTGGATTACACCCTCAGCTCCTCAATGTATTTTTGGATGTGCAACATGCAGATGATGTCAGTGTGGCTCCTGGAAAGCACATTTCAGTGCACTGAAAGAGATAGCCATGCTTGCCTAGCATGTGCAAGGCTCTAGGTTCAATCCTTAGTGCTGGGGTGAGGGTGGAAGAAGCTAAGGATATAGCTCCATGGTAGAAGGCCTTCCTGGTATGCAGAAAACAGCGGGTTCATTCTTCAGCACGACAGGGGAGTGACGGGTGGGTGGGAGGAGGAGATCCATATAACAATCATACACATTTTATTCAACATGATGGTAACAACAAAGAAACATAAGTCTCCAGAGTGTGACAGGCTCCATGTGTGTCCTGTGATTCTGTTTTAGGGAGGCTACCAGAAATGAGAATCAGTAAAGAACTTGCCAGATGGTCTGCTTAGATTTTTATTGTAATAACTCTGTGTTCTAGTTTTGCCTCACCTGCTCTAGGCAAGTGATCTGCCACTGAGCCCTCCCCTAGCCTCAGCATATGCTCGTCTTGAAGATAAGGGTGTCTCCAATTAGAAGACAGAACTTTTACGGTTAGCACTGCTCAGACTGTACTTAGCCACCATACCTAGGTAATGCCTCCTTTCCACATAAGGCTTGTGATCTAAAGAGACAAACGATTTCTTAACAAGAAAGGCCAAGCAAACCCCACACCATGAGCTGGTGATCACTAAGCATCAGTGCTCTGATCCTCTTCTTCCATCCCCACGCCACCACCACATCATAGGCTATGCCATAACAGTGGGTCACTTCTCTAACTGGAATAACATACAAACTGGAGGGTGGCAAACGAGTATTTCACACAGATGCTTTAAAATAAACTTGTGACAGTTTCGGGAATTTAAGCACAACCTTATACAAAATAAAAAAAAAAAAAGAAAAAAGTAAACCAACCAATTAACTAACAAAAACTCTTCCATGATCATGCTTCGGTGATTCTGCATGATGAGTCCATCAGTGAGCTGTAATTTAGGTGAATTTCCCCACTTCTGCACCTTTTATTTGTAAACTGTTTTTACTAGGGTGCTCTATGTGTTTTAGAGCATTGCATTTACAAAATGAAAATGCTGTAAATATTGCATATTTCATGTGTTTGTAATAAAAGTTACAAGTAATTAGACAGAAGTGTTTTTGCACCAATGTTATTACGTCAAGTAAAGTCATCCAACCCCCCACCCATAAAATGCTATCATGGGAAATTAAATAAAGCTCCCCAGTTCCCTTCAACTAGACAGCAAGCAATAAGAACCAGGCATTGAAGAGGTAACAGAATCATTGGCCATCCTTCACTTTATGAAAGAGAAGGGGGACTTGTCAGGCAGATTTACATGGTGATTTCAAAATGTCAAGCCAGAGGCTTTGCAAGACAATTTTAAGGACCATAAAAAAGGTTACTTTATATCAAGACCACAATGATATACAGCAACTTTTTAACAAGTGACACTTTGACGCTGAACAAGTGACTTTTAAGTCTTTAAACTACTAATTCAGTACATTAAAGCAAACTTATTAAAATACAATTCTCTCGTGGGGAAAAACAAAGTAAATGGGCAGTGCTGAGCAGCACGAGCTACAGACAGAGCTGAGTGCTAATGAAGCGATGCCCATGCGCAGCTCTGCCTCTCGGCTCTGCTGGCCATGCTTGTCCTGGCCTGCATCCCCCCAGATGGCCACTGTCTTCAATGCGTTTCCCTTTGCCTCCAATGCTAAACAGCCGCCTCTTCTCTACCACTTCCCAAGGAGCTGCCTTCAACTCCTTATATCAAGTCCTATATTTGCTATAAGATTAATGTGTAGCAATTAAATGTATCCTTTTAACTGTACCAGTATTTATTAAGATTATTATTGTTTTGTTAATACTCTGATTACAAGGGTGTGTGTGTGTGTGTGTGTGTGTGTGTGTGTGTGTGTGTGTGTGTGTGTGTGTGTGTGTAATGGGCTGTTTCTGAAGGTAAATTCTCCTTTCACAATGAGCCCTGATGCCTAATGTGAATTTTATAAAACACAAGTTTTTTGTATTTTTCAGGAATGCAGATAATAACATGTAGACCAGGGAGGCAGCTCTGCTAGACTTAACTATTCATGTCAGTCAGCACTACTGGAGCAAAGCGAACGCTGACTCAATGGCCACACGAAGAGCCCGATGCTGCATAATGACAAGAGCTAATGGAGAAAGGGGACTTATTGGAAGAGGGTTTCAACT